ACATATAAATTGATGGAATCTATATCTTATTATTTAGGTATTAAGTGACCTTTTCTGCCTAAGACTTCGTCAAGATTCCTCGCCAAATAGTAGTGCGTGCTCTGCTGTGCTTCGGTCTGAAAGGCGCGAGTATAATCACAGTTTTTTTTTTGCGCCCGAAGCAAATATGGGCAACCCTTCGGAAAGCGGGGGAGGGAGGTTGGGAATGCTCATAGCATACCACGCAGCCGGCTGCGTGATATGTGGTGACTTTTACCCACTAAACCCAACCTTTTAGGAACTGGCTTAAAGATCTGACTAGAGATCTCTAAGCCGCTAAGAGTTGATGACGCCTTTATACCATTCTTTGCTTTTCGTTTGAGGCCGTAAGTGGCTACCGCCTTCCATGGCCACCTGGAAGTATCCAGTAGGACACCAGGTGGAATTTGGAATGTAAAATCGTTTGCCACTTACATTTTTATGGCATTTCGTATTGACTTTGGTGTAACAAAGCCTTAAGACCTTCCGGGGGAAAATTAGTCTGAAAGCTTCCAAGGACAATCTGACTTACTCTCAGGTGGACTGTGTGCTCGTTTGTCACCCTCATTCTACCAAGTAGACCAATATAATGAGTATTATAAGTCACAAATGTTTGTTTCGATTGGTAGTAGGTTAGAATCCATACACATTCGCGCAATGTTGTAATCATCCACCGACTATGATGAGGCGTCTGCTCTTGGTGAAATTAGTTAAAGCAAAGTTAGAAACTGTTATGCTAATTTGGGTTTTATTCCGTGTCTTAAATGATTATAGATTTACTTGATTTTTTAAGAAGAATTCTGGGAGAGGATATCGCGGGCTCAGCATATAATATAATAATAGGCATATAATAATATATAAAAATAGTAGAATACATTTCTCACATATTCATATATATAGCTCTAAGCATATACCGTAATTTTTAAGATTATATTTTAATAAATAATTATAGTGGTTTCTAAGGATATAGGCACCTAAATTGATATAATTTGATTTATCCTTTTTTTTACTAATATAGTATAAGTATATTACTAACAAATGAAACATTATTATTATTATAAATTTAACGTTAAAATAATGCATAATCGTTGACACACACTGACGTAGTCTTGAAGGTCACGGCACCCAATGTCATTATGTCATAGCTTTCATTCACAAAGACAGTATGTTGCATAATATTTGCAACACTGAACGATCTGGACCTAGAATATAGGTACATAAAGGACGTTTTTTTTCATTGTGTTATAATTTTTGTCTGCGTTTTATGTTATCCTAGTGGCGTTTCAATGTTTATTTCATAATATTACTTATTAAATATGTTTCATTAATATATTTCCCATTACACAATTGACTGGTGCAAGTAGGGTTGCCAGGTCTTAAAAACGAAAAGCAAGTAAACAAGGCTTTTTATCATTTGCCATAAAATCTTAAATTCTAATAAAATAACAACTAAATTGAATGAATCAGCCTTCTTTATTATTAATCATTCCATATTCATTACGATATTAATTTCAATAATTGTTATAGTATGTATTTAAGTACATGACAAATGTAAAAAATGTTAAAATTTAAAAAGTAACAAAAGCCGGACAGGCCGGATACCGTCTAATTTGGCCGCACACATAACCAAAAAGCCTCACTTTATCCGGACCGGTTTTATCCGGACGTGTGGCGACGCTAGGTACAAGAAAAGCCAACATAATCACAGGCTGTGAGCCTTCACAGTGTTCTCCTTAGTGGTGAAAACTCATCTGTGGTGTCTTGTGTGGAGTTAATTGCATGTGTGAGGTGTAAGATGGCTGCGCCGTACCAACTACCGATTATGTTTGCTTTTGATGATTATGTTGACGATTGGCTACCCTTTCACGTTATTATTATAAAATTATTTATTTTATTCCTTTATGTATAACAATATTTAAAAACCTTTTAATTGTCTAAACAATACAATCCCGCTACCGTTTAAAAACATCTTAGGCTACCGTACTATATCTTTAACCCACACGACAATCACGGTAGTAGTAGTAGTAGGTGAGAAATGGAAGCTGTGAAGTGCCGACCGATACGCGGCACGAGTAGGTATTTTCAAAAATACTATATGTTTCACATTGCTCGCTCCGTATCGCCGTCGTGCGATAGGGAAAGTTGAAAATGTTAGAAGTAATTGCACACATTTTCTTTTTAAAATATTGTTTCGAGCGTAACGTTTTCAACCCCCTAAACCTTTACGAAATGAGACAATCATGGTCTCATTAGTATCAGTATACCTTAATTTAGGTCCGTACGTTTTTCTTTTTTAGTACTTTAGTTTAGTTTAATAATAAAAAAAACACTCGAGGAAGTTTTTAAGTCCAAAATTTAGATGCTAATAACTTATATCGTACGCAATATTTCCTTAAAATAAAAACGTATGGACCTAGTTTTTCATTATATGTATAGCTATAACATTTCCAAAAATTTTGAAAATTAGATTATGTTTACGGGAGAGAAACGTTATCGTTTTTTTGTGTGAAGATTTACTGCTTCAAAAACCTCTTAATCTTGAGCACAGGTTTATATATTTACCATTCCACGTTATTTATATTTAAGGAAAAATATAAATAATTTGTTGTACTAGGAAGTGAAGTTATTGTTTATTTGTTTTCATCTAAACCAGATCGTATCTATTTAAATCAGACATTATTTGTCAGTCTTCGCTTCTGAGGTTACGATTATTTGCTGAAGCGTTTTTCGGGGCAACCTTCCCTTGAAGCGAAATGAAATAAAAAATAAGCTTGTTTGCGTTATAAACATATTTATATCGACTTTTATGACTGTGACGAAGCATCAATAACTATCTAAACGAAATAATTCAACGATTCATCCATGCTCTATGGAGTATTAATAGTAGTGTGGCTATAGTCGATATTTCGAAATTCGAAATTGTCGAAATTCAACTAACTTTTAAGTAATATAAAAACGAAACTATCTAAATAAGTTTTAATAGGAACGCAGTAAATGTCATTAAATTTGTTGTCGTCAAATAAACATCATCGACAAATAAATGTACAAATATGTACATTTTAAATAATGAAAACAAACCTACAGTTATCATTATCGTTACTAAAGTCAACAGCTGAACATAGGACTGCCCCCCTGGATTGCCTCATACGGGAGATATTTGCCATAGTTGCCACGCTTTGCGAACGGGTTGGAAACCGCTTTTTTTATTTTTAATCATTATTAGAAAGACACTGCTGCCCTTCTGATTCGTTTCCCTCTGTCGCCTCTTACGACACCCACGGGACGATATGGGGTAGTGGAAATTCTTACATCACCACTGTACTTGGTAATGTTAAAAATGATATAGGAATGAATAATGTGAGTGACGCCCCTAGGAATAATTAATGTGAGTGACGCCCCTAATACTCATATAAATAATTTAACCACATAATTCAATTATTTTAAAATAGCGGAAGAGAAATAACAGTCATCAAGCCTGACCTTCTATTCTAGTCTTTTGATTTGGAAAGGCAATAGTTTTAACGCGAATGACATTTGCATCAATTTAATTTAATAGTACCTACAAGCAATTTGTCGTTTTTAAGTACCCGCTCAACGTTGTATGACGAAATTAAATTAGACGTTTATTGTAATAACAAAACTAATTACATACACGCAATAACATTGAAGTGATAAATCAGCTAAATGATTAAGCCGCCAGTGAAGCCCATGGGTGCGTTATGGCTTTGTAATATAAATCCTAAATCTAAGATGGAATGCCTCACAATTAATTATAAAACAGGCCCTACCCTTCAAACCCGAAGACTGTACCGGATATACTGCTGCTGCAGGCAACGGAAATAATAAGGTACTGATTGTCTGATTTAAAATTGCACGTTTTCACTCTTATATTATAGTAGATTTTATCAATTTGATCACGTCAAATATAGAGAAAACATACTAAAATCTACTGAAAATCTACAGAGGCCGCGAAGACTTTTTTATTTTACTTTATACGGTGAATGTGACAAAATCTACAAAAATACAAGTAAAGCGCGTGCAGTTCTAAATTAAATGAACTCTACCTACATAGACTGACTCATAAAATAAGAAGACCAACTAACTACCAAAGAGATTTAAATACTTAAATGTCTTTGCCAACTTCTTACAAAGTTTGAGAAATTATCTCGTTATTATTTCTTTTTAAATAAATTTGCAATATAAACAGTTATACTGTGTCAAGTGAGTTTAAATTAACTGTCAATTGAAAAGTAATGAAATTTTGTAAATTTTTTGATCTAAAGGTGACGGTTTGCGTCCTTGCACATGCTAATGGTTAATTTTATCTGTGGTTAACTCTATGTTGCCAGAGGCATGTTAAACACTAGGACAATAATGCTTGTGTAATAGAAACATTGGACATTTTGTACTTGCATAAGTGCTTCTATGCAACAAGACTGACTCACCTAAAACTTTTATATTATCAAATAACAATACTGACTATTAAAAAGTCATTTAGATGTTTTCAATTTAAAAACATTTGTAGATTTATATTACTTTTGTGATTCATTCTAGTAGTTTCGCCAACATCTACATTCACTCCAAAGTCAAGTGAATTAATAACTGAAGATGTTTCGGGTCCATACTTTTTGGTCACACTCTTCATATTTTTCAAAATGTTATTTTCCGGTTTCAAAGGGTCACGAAGTTCTATTTCTGTCGTAATGTTAACAAACAAAGCAGGGTTGAAACGTTGGTTTATAAACAAATATGTTATTGACACATGTATCCGGACTATAAGATTGATTTCGATTGCTTTGGTGTTTTGTGGTACATTACCGTCAAATCAATCGCCATTAGTTCGAAACTTTAGCGCTTGTAAACGTCACTTGTGACGTTCAATGTGGAATATATTTGCACATTTTGAATAATTTCAATTTACCTTTGAATAAAACTTATGTATCAACGAAAGATTATTAATGTTATTATTTTCTTTGTTTCAGATTCGTCATTAATCTCCTTGCGACGAATCTGCTGACAACCACCCTGCTTGCGCCCGCGTTGTTTGGCGAGCACTCTGCGAGGGAGACAGCAGCGTGGGTCGAAGCGGGCGACGCTGCGGCGTCGGCGTGTAGTTTGGCAGCGCTATTGGCTGTCATGCTGATAGCTCTGGACCAGCACCACGCAGTTACCGACCCTCTGCGTTGCCACATGCGCTTACTGCAGCGCCGCCCCGCAGCCCTCTGCGCCGCCACTTGGATAGCAGCGGCCGCCGCCGCTGCAATACGCGCAGCTATCGCAATATTCCGCCATTTCTACCCGTTCGAGCCTGTGGTTCAGGGAGTCGAACTGGCATACTATGTCGTATACCTAGTGATTGGTGTTATCGTTCCTACAACCGTTGTTTGTGTCATGTACGCAAGGATCTACCGCGCGGCGCGTTCATCTGGATTACGAGCGCGAGCGCATGGAGCCAGTGCGTTGCAACTATACGAGCCCCCAGTGAACTTGCCAGATCTAGTGGAGGAGGGGGACGGGCTAACGCTTAAAATTGATGTGCCAGATAATGCTGCTGTTGAGAGTGATCGCAAGTTTGGACCGTTTTTACTTCCGCCGGAGCGACCGGTTCGATGCCCGTCTGTTGCCAGCTTACGTAATGCGCGAAAGGAGTGTAAATCGAGCGAGGACCTTAGGAGGGGCCTGCCGGCCGTGAGCTCTGCGCCATCGCTTGCCGCACCTCTCCTGTCTGTGAATTCACGCTTACCTCAGCCCGCCAGCAGTACGTCTCGGATAACTTCAATCCGGTGTCGAATCTCGAACGCTTCTTTGTTCCGGTATAGGGAAGAATCTCGTGCAGCCCGTGTGGGACTATTAACGGGAGCATTAGTAATGTTGCACGTGCCGCACGCGGTATCCGCGGTGGTGATTGCAGCCGTGCCAAGTTTGGAAGCCAGTGCGCGCACGCCATCGCTGGCTTTGCTGCTGCTGGCTTCCGCGGTATCTCCATTCTTGTTTGCCCTGCGCTCGCGTCGAGTGCAACGTGAAGCGCGGCGGTTGCTGCTCCCGGAGAAAAGCGCATGGGACCGGGCGTCGGGAGCGGCTGCATCAGCGGCCGCTGACGGTCAACGAGCCCGTGCTGCATTAGAATTGCTGCGCACCCTTTCTCCTGGTGGGGAAGCCGGTGACGGCGGAGAATCGGGGACACCGCCGCCGGGAAACGGCTCGGATGCTGCCACCTGCCGCGGTTCCTTCAGCTCGGGCGGCAGCACTCAACTCTCCTCCGCGTCGGACGAGTGACCGCCCGCGTCACGCGCGGCTAAGCATCCGCGCGTCCACTTCGCCCCGCGCCCCACCGCCCTACTCATCTGTGATACTAGGATAAGTCGTACCGCGCTCGGCGCGACCGTTAGACTGATTTAGTTGATAAGATAATTTATTGTGTCCACGTACCTTACCGCTGAGCGGGCCACTTTTATATTACCTGATATAAATGTCTTAAATATTAAATTCGTATCGAAGTAATGATTTAAGTTTTATTTCCCTCCGACCTAGTTAGAAATCGATTCATGAACTCAAATAAGACAGTATTGCGGAGGTATATACATAAGTACCGGATAGTGAAGGTCGACAATGAACATTATGTTACGAAAATTGAGTGTATCGTATTGTTGCACAAAATTTTCCTAATACAACGCGGCTTGAATGTCTTTAACGGGCTTTCGAAACTAGCGAGGCGAACAATACATCTTAATTAGGTGTAGTAGAATAATCGACATTATAAATCATTAGCTAGCGTAAGAATGATGAGTTGAAAATACATATATGTCATTTTAATGTTGTCGATTGAATAATATACAATAAATTAATTAATTAGACCACTATGTGTGTTTCTTCTTTTAAAAACTAATGATTTCCACACATTTATTATTTCTATTGTGAAAAAGGCTTAAAATGATTCCTTTCTTATGCCATCTTTATTTAAAGTATCAAAATTAAAACTTCAATAACTTTAAATCTCATAATACTATTTTTAAATCATAGAAAACTTTTTACGTGGTAGAACAATGCTGCAGTTATATTAGTAGTATAGTTGTAGCACGAATAGGTCGGCTCGACCGGGGAAGGACGACGCTCTCACAGAATACCAGCGTCAAATAGTAGCTTAATGCTGCTGTGTTTCGTATGGTGAGTGTAGAGAACCGGAGACCCTTTTTATTAGAAACGAGGCATTCCACCTAACTCCTCATGGGTGACAACGGATCCGCATTTTGATTCGTATTCGAGGTCTAGACATAGACGTCTATGGGCCACAGCAACCATTTACCATCAGGTGGACTGTGTGCTCGTTTGACACCTATCCTATAAAATAAAAAAAAATAACTTTTTAAAATTACCAAACATTTTTTCATATTATATTTGAATTAAATTATTACTATTCATTCGCCCCGACCTACCCTCTCGTAATGAGAGTCCGGTAGTGATAAACATTTAATACAAAAGCTGTTAAAAATGTAAAAATCTACACTTTACCGCTACTGTCACAGCCTACTAAAGTCCATTGCTGAACATAGGCCTCCCCCATGGATTGCCTCATAGGGGGAGGACTTTTGCCATAGTTGCCACGCAAGGCGAGCGGCTTGACAACCGCAGAAGTCAATTATACGCATTATTGAAGATATCTCAAAAACTTCAAGTCAGATATTGAATTTAATTTATATGGGGCCACACAATAGCAATCATCAATACTTTGATTCGATCCGGGTTCAATGAACGATTCATTCACGATTGACACATGATGTCTACTATCTCATTTACAAGAGACGTAAAATATTCAGGCGACGGGTAGCAGTAGGTGGGAGACTCCTCGTAAATATTTTTCAAATTCACATCAAAACCAACACGGGAGTTTAATACAGAAAATAGAAGAATATGACAAAGTTATAACAGAACTCATGTTAGCTTTGATCTGTTTTTTTTTTATTATTGATCCACCAACATTTGTATCATTCCTTATATGCTATTTAAATACAATGAAGCGATAAGAACTAAAATGTACAAATAATTATAAGCGGAGACAACATGCAAATAACTTTCTCAGCACTGTGTACCTATATTACTAGGATAAAGAAAGAATTAAAAATTAAAAGAAATTATAACTAAATACAAATAAAAATATATAGAAGCGAAAAGGAAAGAACATATTTTATAGAATGTTACAAAAGATGGTCTCTTAAGGTGCGACGGAGCTTGTTAGGTGGGTCGAAAAATATATCAATTTTATCTCTAAATTTGTTAAAAAGTTTACTCATTCTAGCAAAATTGGAGCTAAACACTGTTCTTCTATATGGTCTAGTCAGTGGTGTAATCTTACGAGCGTAACGCGGGTAACGAAAGGGAACGCATATATTAAATTTACTTAAAATTTCAGGACAGTGAATGACACCACTAATAATTTTAGAAGCAAAAATCAAATCAATAATATCCCTTTAAACCTCCCCCGGAAGCGGGACTTTTCAAGAGAAATCATTTTGAAATTGATCAAATTATTTTCATATGATACACCCTTCTTATTACTTCTAAATCCGCTTGCGTATGACAAATGTCTTATAAATCTTTTTTTGGATCCGCTCGATTCTCAGTGAATGTGTAGCGTAATGAGGTCTCCGGACTACAGCACAGTACTCTAATATACTTCGTACCAAAATGTTAAATAAAAGAATTTTAATTTTAGCACTTCGAAAGACTTTGATATATCTTATGACAAAACCCAACATTCTAGATGCACGTTTAGTAATGTTTTCAATGTGCGGTACGAAGGTTAATTTTTTATCAAATATGACCCCGCGGTCTCTCTAATTTGGTCTAACTGCTGTAATTTATTACATCCAATGTGATAGCTATAGTTGATAGTGTTATTTTTTCTCGCATATTGCACATAGAAACATTTACTAATGTTTAAGTCCATACGATTTACTTTGCCCATTTAATCAGTTGATCAAAATCGTTCTGTAGCTTTATTGAATCGTTCTCTTCCACAATCGTCTTGCAAATTTTTAAGTCATCCGCATACAAGTACACACGAGACCATTTCATCAATTCTGGAATTTCATTTACGAACACCCCAAACAGAATCAGTCCAAGATGAGACCCTTGAGGCACACCAGAATTAATATTTTTTTAAACCTGACTGATATCCATTCACCACTACAAAAAACGCTCGGTCCTTTAAATACGATTTAGCCATTTTAACATACTACCAGTAATGCCGTAGGCAGCTAACTTACGAACCAATATGTCATGTGGGACCCGATCAAATACTTTGCTAAGATCAGTATATATTACGTCAACTTGTTTCCCCGCATCAAGTGCTTCAATTAGTATTTCCGTAATATGTACCAAATTAGTGCTCGTAGACCTAGATTTAATGAACCCATGTTGGCTAGTGGTTAAGTAAAGATTGATATGTCTCTGAATATAAGGACAAATAATTGACTCTAATAATTTTTTTTAATAATAATAATAATAATAAATATTTATTGCCACACAATAATAAGTTTACAAATGAAAAGTTTACAAAGTAAGTATACACATAAAAATGATTAGACTTAAAATAAAAATAAAAAAAAACATTCACAATTAACAGATTAACTAATATTACTCAGTATACGATTATAATGTGAGGCAACGGGCACAGGCTCAGTATTCGCTGGGCATTATGCTCAGCACTGTTTTTTTTCAGCCAGTCCCTGCTGTTTTGGGTATATTTTGGTCGCACGCACATCTTACTTAATTATGTATTGTTGGTAAACCTCTATACAGTCAATATGTGTTAGATAAAAATACTTATTACAGAATAAACATACAGTTATTCGGCCTAAAAAAGATTTCTGTTCGTGTAATAACTCCTTTTTTTTTAAATGTTGAAGAATTAATATTAAAATTTTCTTTTAAGGGTGGTGGCAAATCATTCCATATTTTTGCGGCCGAATATTTAAAACATCCTTTGAAGTTTTTAGTCTTATGGCATGGAATATTCAGCATGTTTGAGACTCTTTTACGTGTATTTACTTCATGGGCATTCTTACTCCAATCTAATTTATTGTATAAATACAGTGGACTTTTGTTACTAATAATTTTGTGAACTAAGCAAACCAAGTGGAGTTTCCTACGTGCGTCCATTTTTAAAATATTATTTTCATTAATATATGGAGTAATGTGAGCTCTTTTTGGGACGTTAAAGCAAAAACGAGTACATGCGTTTTGCACGCGTTGAATTGCCTTTTTTGTTTTTGCATACAGTCGTGGGCCATAGACGGTATCGCAGTAATTAAAATGTGATAACACTAACGACTCAACTAAGGTCTTCCTGATCGCCATATAAAACCTTTAAACGATAAAAAGCATTACGTACTTTAATATTTACATGTTCATTAAATTGCAGTTGGCTATCGAGGGTAAGACCAAGGTTATTAGTATGATCCACTCTGAGTACCTTTTTTTTGTTGATGAGTATTTCCGGTTTCTTACTTAATATTTTTTTACATTGTGTTTTACTTCCTAGCACCATATATTTTGATTTTAAAGGATTAAGGGTTAGACCATTTTTGTTTGCCCATTGGAAGATTGCCGACAAATCTTCATTTAACTGCATAACTGCATTTTCCGTCTGTTCTGGCTTGAACGAATGATAAATTTGAGTATCGTCGGCATACAGATGTATTTTACTATGTTTTAATACTTTGCTAATATCCGCTGTAAATAGTATGAATAGAATATGGCTTAAGATAGATCCTTGCGGAGTGCCTCGGGACGCTCTTCTTACATTTGATTGTATTACTTCCCCTTGGTCAGTGTTAATTTCAACATATTGACTTCTATTTGACAAGAATGAGTAAAACCATTTACACGTTGCCTCCGATACTCCGTAGTATGACAGTTTCGCCAGAAGTATATCATGGTTTATGCAGTCGAAAGCTCTAGTAAAATCCAATAGCACCAGTATACTACCCTCACCTTTATCAGAAGCTGCAGTTATATCATCCGTGACGTGCAGCAGAGCTGTTTCCGTACTATACCCTCGACGAAACCCGGATTGTGTTTCTGGTAAAATATTATTATCTTCTAAATATCTCGTTAACTGTGAACATACTACCCTCTCCAATATCTTGGAAAGTGTAGGTAAAATGCTGATTGGTCTAAGGTTATTAATTTCCTGTACATTTGGACTCTTAGGAATAGGTTTAATTTTGGCTAGTTTCCATCTGGAAAGATCTGGAAAAATCTTAGTAGTAATGGAT